CATATGAATTGTTTCGCAGTTAAAGTTGACAAGTTTTAAATGGCAGTACAACATCAATTGAAGATTTAAAAAAATTGGAAATATTAAAATTTTTGTACTTTTTTCCTCCGAATCAAATAACGATAAAACGTAACAAATTTAATAAAAATTAGTGAATTTTCTCAACGTTCTTGCTAGCTACGCTAAATACGATTAATTACAATTACTTCATCTCCACATTATTTTTTAAAAACATTTCCGCACCCGAAAAATTCATCGATAATATTGGAATTCAGATATTTATATGTGAAAATTTTGTTGATTTAAAATTCGAGATGTTATTGTATTCCTGTTTTTATTTTAAAGCCACGATAATTAAATATTTCTACAGAGAAAAAATATTGAAAGTAATGTATAAAATAAAATAAAATTCTATGTAGGTACACAATACGATTTAAACACTTCACTATTTAATAACCTATATGTTTATTTATTAATCTTTGTTTACTTGTTTTATGGTTTTTTGGCTAACTTTATTTATTCGTGAAAAATAAATGAAAGCTCGCGTTCGATTGTTGCATATACATATATTCATAACCAAAAACTCATTTTTCAGTCGTTTTCATATTATCTATGCTTTATATCGAGAATAATTAATTTTATATTTAACTATTTTTTGAACTTTAGATATTTATTTAGTTCTTAAACTTGAATTTACCATTTTCCCGAAGAAAGTAAAAACACTATAATCATTAATTATTTGCAGTATCGACATATAATATTTGTTTATTTTCCCTATTTTCCTGCATTCGATATTGTCATACAAAAATACAGAAAAACTGTAGGTATGTCGCGACAGTTCGATCAACGCGGCGCATTTTACGTCGTTTTGCTTCTTTATCGTTTGGTCTGCAAATCACGCTTCAGTGCATTCATACTGTTTTTCAATCCTATATCACATACACCAGACGCGACCATCTGTGTTTTCATGCGGAGCTCGAAGAAACTCAGCAACTTTTTAATTACCTTCTCTATCTTAAATTTACTTGCGGTTAGAGCTGTTTCTATCTATTTCTTTTTCTATCTCTGTTTCGTTCTATCTCTCTTTCTCTTTTACGCTCTGTTGATTTTTTCATCAAGCTTAATGCTAGGAGCCGCAATTTTAACAATTCTCAAAGAGTCGACATTTTTAACAAAAGAGGTCGATGTTTGTGTGTTTTTATCCGATTCCCACGCCCACTTAGCAGAATTCTGTATTTCGAGTTATCGCGGCAAAGAAAAACTCCGCGCGTCTTTTTCGCGCGTGCTGAATAAACTGCGTGAAAAGCATAACACAGATAGGGATAATGGAGCAAAATAATATCGTTTTTTTTTTTAAATAAACGGTTGAGTATTTCGCGACAACAATTTTATGTATGGGATTCTTTAAAAATGCGGCGTGATAGACTCCCTCGTGGAGAATTTATGGGCTTCAAATGATATTCATAAAGTCGCCTCGACTAAACGATCCCCGTCGTACATTATTTTCCTTCCGTTTCAATCTTACTCTCGGGTTATAAGCGAGATATATTGAACTGAACGTTTTGATGGTCATCCGGAATCGAACTCGTAATCGGTTCTCATAAATTTTGAAAAGCGACTTCAACTGTCTCTGAGCACCGCAAGTGATCGGTAGCTCTGTACGTATTGATCTACAGCCCGTCCTACATACAATGGTACAACCGAAAACTTCTCTACGCTTGCATGTACTAGTTTCGCAATCAGTTCGGCGGAACTGGTACGCGCTTACGAATTTGCATTGTTTTCGTTTGGTAGGAAAGTCGTATATCGTTAATGCGAATGAAGCTACCGTTGCTTGAAATTAAACTAGTTTCTATTGTCAAAATAGTTGGTTATTGCTGATCATTTAACCTTAGATAGATGATTTAAAGATACTCAAATTAGGTGCTCAGAACACTCGCAAAAAATTTTAATTTTATAATTATATTTTTTATTAGTATATTACATATACCTGTATTATAAATTATTAAAAACTTATATTACACTGACAGAAAAATTTTCGATATTTGCGATTATAATTACATGTTATTTATGATTTATTAATTATGATTATTACTGCTATAATATTAGTAATAAAATAACTATTGTAGTTCTACTAACAAAATATAGTTGGCAACTAAAAATGATTATAATTATTATAACCATAAAAATGTTTGCAATTACTGCAATTTAACTATAATCATTTTCGGTTGCCAATTATATACATATATTTGTTAGTAGAACTATCTATATATATATATATATATGTAATTATTATGAAATTATTACCTATAGCAGTAATAATCATAGAGACTTTATTACCTATAGCAGTAATAATCATAGTGGTAACAATAATTATAGTTGCCAATATCAAATTTTTCTCTTAGTGTCGTTATATCCTTTCAAGACAGAGGAATGTAAAAACAATAAAAATTTAAAGCTTCTAGGAATCTCGGCCATATATTTTATTTTTCCTCTCTAGAACAAGATGTTAAAGAAAACTTTGTTTGAGGTGCTATAGTCATCCACCTACCTATCCTAGTAGCACAATTCATCGGCATAATATTGGCCCAACATATCCCCAATGTATGCCAACGTTTAACCAACGTTTAACAAATGTTTCGCCAATGAATTGTGCTGCTCGGGTACTAATGGGATACTTTAAAGATTAACAAATTGTGCTACTCTATCTTTAATTAATTATGATATTCGTTGGAATATTTTCTCCTATATATCTGTCGCGTGTTTGTACATATTTGACATACAATTGTATTCGCGCCATTACGAATATGTCACACTTACAAATTGATCCCGTCGTATCCAGCCCCGATGCCGACGTGATCCACTCCGGCTATCTTCCGCACGTGATTGATGTGCGCTGTAACATATCACGAAAATTGCATGTATTAGGTAATCGTAGTAATGCCCGCTGCATGCCCTTAACATCACCGCGATACATGGAACGTGTAGCTCATTTATCGTGTAACAAGGAGAATTACATTTCCCTAACCACGGATTGCCTGCGAACTTGGCTATGCAGCGCGGACGATTTTTCTTTCTGCTACTAATAACACCGCGAGTTATTACTCTCGAGGGCAGCAAAGAAAATTACCTATACTTACATTATGTGCTTCCTTTATTTCCATTGTTATCCAGCAACGCATATTTATTTTTTCTACACATGTTTGATGTATAATTATAATCATACGTCCGTTGTAACCGCGTTTGCTATTCTACTTGCCTAGTTAGTCACAATTGCTAACCCAATACTGCACGATGTGCATAATTAATTCTTGCTTTTAATTAGACAGAAATATTGCGCTCATGAATTGAATAACTTATCGTTACAAGCAATCCGTCCGCCGCGCGGACATATCTTTATATTTAAAGTCGAAAGAGACAGTAAATCAATTTGCAATTAGCGCGGTCGAATCGCAAAAACTCAAAGGAAAAAGATTCACAGAGGCGCGTTAATCTTCAGTGGAGATATCTGGACGATCGAATGTAGACGGATTATGATTTTGCACTGAGAGAAAAGTATTTGGTATTTGTAAATATAATTAAATAGTAAAATAATTATGGCTAAAAGCTCCATTTTTATAATTATTAATACTATTACTGCTTTATTTTTATGAAGAAATATTCGCTATTTATAGTTTTATATATCAAAAAGAACATATAATTGTTTCCGAAAGGATTATAAATTAGTTTATAGGAATAATTATACTTTTTTATATATTAGATGTATAATTTAATTCTCGGTCCCTACATTTAATCGACTACAACCTATTTAAATTAAAATTTTTTTCCGTATAGTCATTTTAAAGCGCCATCCTTCAGTTTTAAAACAAGATACGAGAGTGCTGCCGATATATGTACTCTTTTTCGCATTTCAACTGAAGAAAAATGCTGGTGAGGCTAAGGAAATGATTTGCTCGACCTTAAGTGAAAATGCTGTGTCTTATAGTACTAAACTTGTAAAAAGTGGTTTCAAAAGTTTCGGGATTGCAATTTCAATCTCCAAGATGAAGAACGTTCTGGACAATCAAAAAACTTGAAGATGAAAAATTGGAACAGCTTTCAGAAGAAAATCCTTGTCAAACACAAGAAGATTGAAAGATTGAAAGATTATTTGTTTTTATATAGATAAATATTTTTGTTAAAAAGACCGATAATTAAGTTGTACACTATAGAACCATGAATATATGTTAACATTATAGCATTATATTTACACTGTAACTTTATAGCATTATATTTACTATAAAGATGGAGCGTTTAACTATACCTATTTTACTATGCATTATAGTCACAAATAGAAATAGGTATACCAAACACTTTGCTCTCAATGTGTTTGTTGCTGACAATCGTATTTGTAAATGCAATTCTCTCGTAACTAGCAAATTTCAAAGAGTTTCCTCCCGCGCCAAAGATGGATAAAATCGAATAATAATTTGAACAGGTACAATGAGATCATGAACGTGAGCATAAACAATGAAAATTTGCATATCCGTCAGACGGATGTTATTGTTAATTCGGTAACGGTTGCGCTCGCGCGCAGATATAATTTACACCTCGGTAACGTAATATATCGCGGATATAATTTACACTCTATAGCAACATAAAATCCAAAAGACAATTTCATATACTCATCAGAATTATGAAAGTGTTTCTCTTCTTAATAAATTGAATTGCTTATTGCGTCATGAATTATTAAAGGGTGCAATATTTAATATATTTTAAGTGATAGGTATTTTAAACAAAGTAAGAGGATTATTTCATATTAAACGAATCGATTAAAAAATTATTTCCATATTTATCTTGTGTGTATTCTCAATTTAAATAATCTGGAGTTCGATATCGATGCAATTAACTATTTGAAGACTGGAGCTTTCTAACAAGATAACTTATGGAAATTCTTGCTTCCTAACAGTTATCGGAATAGCTGAATTCGAATTTTAGAATATTGGTTTCAGAATTTTAAAACTCAAATTTTGAAAAATAATCTGATTATCGTGAAAACTCGATTTTAGGAGGTTCTTGATATCTCTGAGCTTGAATGTGGCTTGAAAATATCGAATTTCAAAAGGACTATAACTTGTATGAAGGAGGATCTAGTATCACAGAATTCATAATCAGTTTAAAAATCAGTTTGGAAATCAGTATACTAACTGTTTACGTATCACTAATGAGCTTTAAATAAAATGAAACTGGGAATTTCATATTATATACTTCATTAAAAACTACCTAAAACCGAATTTCATGATAATTAAATTATTTTTAAAAAATTCAATCAAATATATATTGAATTCAGTATTATGGTTTTTTTTTTATTTTTGACCTCAAATTCGAATAAAGCATTTCCAAAAATTACTCCATAGGCCAAGCTTCATAAAAATTGAGCGAGTTATTTATAACGTAAAAGGGGTGATACAAAACGGAGTCGCGAATCTATAAAGGATTAATTTTACATTGTTTAGTAAACAACATTGTCAATAATTTTTATGTGAAAACGTACGATTTTTTCTGTCAATATTCTTTACAGAATATAATAATAATAATTATTGTATGTATATTACAATATTATTATACCTATACGGAGTGACAAAAAAGTTTGTGTAACAAAGTTTGGTGTATTTATTAAATCATTATCCAAGTAGCTACACTGTTAAAAATTTCATGAAAGGACCCCGCACAGCATACGGAAAATGGGTCTCGGTTAATTTGGCTGTTTATAATATATTGTAGTTCTGATCGTTCTCATCAAAAGTTTCCATAGGCACGAAGTAAAGAAATGAACAGTTTTTGAGATATTGTATATCAAACTCTGCCAAAACAGCTAATTTCATATGCTTACTTGAAAGTACATTTTCGTATCTATTACTGACTCTACGTGTGCGTGCGTGCGTGCGTGCGTGCGTGCGTGCGTGCGTGCGTGCGTATGTGTGCGCGCGCGCACATACAGTGTGTCCCGTTTTAAAAGATCCGCTGAAATATCTCGTAAACACTGCGTTAAATTAAAAAATGTTTCAGACTTTTCTTTCACTTCGAGGGAATAGTAAAATGGTATTATTGGTTTGATCTTTGGGGTTGCGAAGGTCAGGGCAAAATCACTTTGAATTTTTTACATGGAACACCAATTTTTCATTATATATTTTTATAGCTTACCTCGAGAGCTTTTCAAGACACTATAATAAACTATTTTTTCATTAAGTATTTTTCGAGTTATAAGATTTGAAAGTTACAGTTCCGTCGGCATTAGCATTACTCAAGATGTACCATGCGTACCATTATAGAGTCTTGAAAAGCTCTCGAGGTAAGCTATAAAAATATAATGGAAAAAATCACTTTCGAGATCATGAAAGTTGTTGCCATTTTAAAAATCGAATTTTTATATAATATCATTTCTTTAACTATTCTGCATATAAAAAAATTAAGGTAGAGATGCCGAAAAGTCAATAGTTTTCAAATTATTCTATGCTTTACTCTGGTCATTGACATAAAATATTAAATATCTTGTAAACTATTAATTATTTTGATAATCGCACCTTAATACTTTTACATAATAATGGAGTGAATCAATTAGTATAAAGATACACATAGTTGCTTATTAAAAAAATTATACATTTTGCAACACACAACTACATATTTTTTGTTCTATTGCGTTTGAAATTTTTCATCCTGTACACACACAACACACACACACACACACACACACACACACACACACACACACACACACACACACACACACACACACACACACACACACACACACACACACACACACACACACACACACACACACACACACAAATTTAGAAAGGAAAATAAAAATGAAATATTATATACATATGTGTGCACATATGTATACAATATTACATTATAGAAGCTGCAGTTAGTTGCAGCGCATAGAAAGGTAGAATTCGTTAAGAACATTAGAAACAGTGTGGATTGCAAAGATTTTATTCTGACAAATGCTTTATAAATAGTACAGTAAAGATAGAATGATAAAAAAAGCAATGAACATTGTTCATTTCATGAACTATCACATTGTGTATGTATACATTAATATACAGAACATTCTTACTTCATTTATGGAGACTGAATAAAATTTTCATTCTGAATTTATTTCAAGTTTCTACATCCATGTTTTAACGATACACGCGCAAACAGTAAAAATCATTCATTTCCATCTTGCGTTTATTTTCATTCCGCATAGTCAAGTAGCGAAATGTAAAATAGTAGGGTAGCAATATAGAAGGAATTAATTCAAAAGATTAATTCGATTAGGAAAGAAGAACAAAGATATTCACAATACAATTGTAATTGTTTGACCGCAAATACTTTTATGAGTTTTAACATATAAGTAATTTACTATATATTTTTTCTTTTGTGAAGCGTCAAATAAACACTTCACATACATGAAACAATCTGTTGTGTACCAATGAAAAATATAATAAATGAATTTATTATAGAACTGAAATGCAGATTTTTTTTATACAGTACGTTTAGTATTGCTTTCAGAATGCAATACTTGTTTATATAGTAGACAATATAAAAGATATAAAAGATATATTTTTAAGGAACAACTAATTTTATTGATGAAAGAGATGCTCACAAACATTTTCCTAGTTATTATATAAATAAATTATTGTATTCAAATATTTTTATTTATACAATATCAAAAATATATACAATATAACAATTAATTGCAACAAACAACAGTATTGAATGCTCGCAAATATCACTGTTATCTTTACGATTGTACCAAAAATAAAAAAAAAAACAATTTGTTCAATTCTATAATGACAAATATTATATAATTATGCAATTAATCGAGCATACCTTCCAAAAATACAAGCGCATCCACATTATCAATGGCATTTTCTACATCACGTTTTTGAACAGTCTTTTTCTTCGCTTGTGCAGTATATCTATAAGCTTCTTTTGCAAGAGATTCAATAAAAAATTCCTGTTAAAAGATAGATGATTTTAACACATTATAAAATGTATCACAATTAATTATTCGATATTTACCACTGACTTCGCCACCAAAAACGTAGCCTCTTGATTAACTAAACAAACTTCAGGATCCATTTTGATGATGGTTTTTATTCTTCCCAGAGGTAATCGTATCAATTTTTCTCGCTGCTCCTCATCACCATGTGAGGTGTTGACTTCCTCTCGCGAATCTCGTGGATTCTCTTCATCAACATGGATTTTATCAAGTTGAATCTCTTTGTTTAAACCATCGATCTTTGAATTGTCCATGTTGGCACGTAACGTACAGCTACTTCAAAAGCAAAAATTTAACATGTTCAAAAAAGATGGATTGGTTCTACAAATTTATAACAATTGTTATTTCGAATATTAAAAATGATAATGTATATATTATAGTAATAAAAACATTTTGATGCATTCAAAGTAATAACGGGTAAAACTAAATAAATATATAAATAATATAATTACTTTCGCGGATAATTGTTTAATTTAGTCATGTTTTACCTCAAAAATTGACGAAATTAGGCTCATTCGAGGCGTTTTTATATCTGAAACGAACGAATCTGTCTGAGAAAAGCGTTGCTCTGTCCCGCGAATCGAGATATTAATCGTTAAAGTTAAGAACTATTCAACACTATTCAGGTTAGGAAATGTGTCAAGAAATATAGATAAAAATTAAAGTTTATAAACTACAGAGGTTATCTTAAGGAGCAATTTCACGCAGCGTCAAAACGCTGGCGGCTCTCCCCACTCTGACCCTCTATGAACCGCCGTCGACAAAACGCCAACCGCTAAAAGGTGCCTACTGGGGTGCGTTCCAAAATTCACTCC